GGGGCTGACAAGGGGGGACTGCTTCTTTATCACCCCTTTCTTTTTTTAAACTCAAGCATCATTTTCAAAGCAGTAAAAAAAAAAAAAAAAAGAATAAAATGCATTTTTCAAAAGTTCTTGCAGGCCTCGGCTGAAGGCGAGCCAAGCGGCGTCTTTCTCGGTACACTTAAAAGCATCGAGCTGGCCTGAAAAGCCCTCATTTAAAAAGACATAAGCTTTTTAAAAACACTATTAAAGAAGTAATTCCATTTTGTTTTAATATAGAATTTCCCATAAACGTTTGCTGTACCTGAACACTGTTAATAACTCAGAAATAAAGTCTCATTTCCCCGGAGAGCAAAAAAATGAGACTATCGAGCTCGAGCTCCTCTTGGTGCACCCAGCTTTGCCCCAACCCTGCAACATGCACCTCTGAGACCTTGTTAATTATCAGTAATGGCAGGACCGTATGTGACAGCAGCGAAAGGGCATTAGTCCCCACTAAAAAGCAGAATAAAGCTTTTCAGAATTAGAACTATTTATTGAAAATTGATTCTACTTTTAGGATGCTGGACTACAGTGTAAAGCCAAAGCTGCTGCTGCCGTCAGCTGTCTGCAGTTCACGGGCTGCAATATGAATCTAAGCGTCACCCGTTGGGCCGGGTCAGCCACCTCTGCTACTTCAGACAGGTTTTCTAGGCTGACTTCTTGCAAACAGGCTTTTGTGCCAATGCTAGAGCTCTCTGACAAAGCAGGACCACAGCAGCTACACAGACCTTTACAAATCCGTAAGGCCACGTTCTACAAAAAGATGCATTAAGGATTTCTTACACAGAAGTTGTCTCCAAGGCTCTGCATCACATGTTTTTGACAAGTATAAAGATCTGATTCTTAATGTGCTGTACAGCAACTGCATTTAAAATCAGTTGCCCGAGTGTTCTACCAAAGTTGGGGGGTTTTTGGTTTTTTTAAGTTGTGAGGAGTTGTATCTTTTTCAAATGATAACAGCTAAAGAAATTGATAAATAGCAAAAGAACATATAATTCATGACATAGGCACAACTGGATGGTAATCTGTTACAGCAGCCTTTGCTACATTTCTCAGTACACAAATAGATGCAGTACGTAACAACTTCAGATTGCCGTTTCACTTACATGCCTTGCATCTTCGGGATTTACAGAAGCAAGAGAACTCTGCAAGTCTTCAAGCTCTTTCTGCTTTTTCCCTATTTCTCTTTTCTGTTTCTCCATTTGTTTTTCCAGTTCTAAAGTTTCCTTGCGTAGCTGGTGCAGGATTTGTATCTTTTCACTCAATTGCTGTTCAAGATCTTCCTTGTTGGCCTGCGACATCTGGAGACAGCATTAGGAGGTTGGGTAAAACAGTTTAACTGGAAATACAAAGCTGATCCAGAAAGTTTTTTCAAGTTTTATCAGACTGCTAGTTTAGCCTAACAGGTTGCCTAAAAATGATCTATTCATTGTTTTGAATCTTCTTTATTTTCTTAAGAAAACAAAAACTCACAGGATTTTCTCTAAAAGAGTTAGAGATAGAAAGAGAGTTTGCTTACAGTAACTGGAAGTTTTATAACATTAGTCTGCCATAGTAGGAAAATGCCAGAACCCTCATTTTGACCATCATCCCAAGTGCTTTGTTTTCAAACAAGACGTCAAAAGTCTCTTGTATAATTCCTTCTTGCAGCCTTATACAAGACTGTCATCTGGAATGTCTTTTTTTCCCCCCTCCCACAGTTATGACTTCTTAAGTTAAAATATGGAAGATCCTGGTCATTGATTTTAAGACTAAAAATAGCAATAATTTATGACAGTTGTTGAAGAAACAAATGATACAATTTTAGTTTAATGCTGATGAATGTTTTTAAATTAATTCTTGCTGCCAATTATGTAGCTACATTGCTTATTATTAATTGCACAACTAAACCTACAAAGTGACAATCCTTCCTGAAAGGCCTTTTCTGTTAAATCAGAATATATTCAATCCATACAATTATATTAAGAGGTTCAGGTAAAATTTCCTTTCTCATGAACATGTACGTATGCCATGTCCTCAGCACTGCTTATGACTTTGTGACTGCTTATTACTGTTACTTTCTCCTCTGTCTATGAAGCCTTTAAGGAGCTGTAAGCTTATGGTTACTGGAACCGGGAAGGTATGTTCAAATTCAAATCCAAGTCTCCTGCTGTGTAATGCAGTGACCCCTAACTATCCACTTGCAGTACACAAGTCTGTATTTATGTTCTTCCAAAGCGTTCTGGGGAAAGTTAACAATCATCGCCAGCATCACACGGAACATGTTTAGAAGCAGTCAATTGTACAACAATTCTGACGGCTTATTTATAAACAAGCCCTCTAAAACCTGTGAGATTTTTCTGATGCATGACAAAGGGATTTACACATGCACAATGGCCCCTCTAAAAAAGAACGGGGAGAAAAAGTTATATTTTCTACACCAACACTGCTTCAAACACTTTCCCTTGCTATTCATGTAGCAACTTCTTTACATACTTTTTTCTGAGCCAGAGCATCCTCCAGTTGTTGCAGTTCCCCTGTTACTTTCAGCACTTGTTGCTCTGCATTTCCTATTGCACTTTGCAGTTCTTCTAATCTTCTTTGTGCTGCAGACCAAAAAAACCAGAACAAAACAAAAACCACTCCACATCACAACCCCACAAAATACATTATAGTACTCTGTATAACATTAATACGCATGTTTTCTGTTAACATGGCAATGAGAGTCCATTTTCTTAAAACAGTAATAATCGAAGCTAATGCATTCTGGCTTCTCAAAAAGTATGTCGAGTTTTTTTAATGAGTCTTATACAGTTAAATTAATGCACCAAATATGAAACCTCTCCAGCATTGTCTTTTCAATATTTAATCCTTTCATCTTGAGTTGTCTTAGAACAATAGCGAAACAAAACTGTAACAGTTTTGACCTCAAACACATCAAGTACAGTGTTTAGAAATTACAGCACATACAGCCTTTGACACATTATTGCTATTCTTATGTCAAATATGTGTCAAGCATTTAATTGGTGGAATAAACTACATTGATATACATATTTTCATTTTTATTGGATTAAAAAAATAAGATTTTACCTGAATTAATCTTTTTTTCTTTACCCTCTAGTAGCTCATCTAGAGTTTGGAGCTGCAGTTTCAGCTGGGGTTTCCTATAGAAGTCCTCTTCATCTAGTTGCATTTTTCCAATCTCCACCTGCTGAGCTTTGTTAACAATGTAACCTTCTCCTATAAACATATTTCTTTTATACCTGGCCTTACCAATGTATGGGCTTTCACCAGGTACATGATCAAGTTCAACATCCTGAAACGTATGAAGCAATATGTCTTTACATCTATCTCAGGAATATGGTGGCAGTCAACTCATAATATACATTTAACTCTCTTAACAAGCATATAAAGGAAAGCCAATTTGAAATTAGAACAATTAGAAGAAAATAGACTACACTTGTCTTGTTTGAACACTGACCCTTGAACATTCTTGTTATTTTATAATGGAATTAAAAGCAAACAAACCCAGTTGGGGTCTGATCAGTTTGTTGCAAATGACTAATGCGAGTGGATATTTAAAGGGAGGATTTTTTCTTAATATTTTAGACCAACCAGTAATATAGATTGCACTTAGTCCATTACATTGTTGCACTTAAACTTTACTCAAACACAACTTAAAAAATCATTTGTAGTTAATGATTACTGATCTTTCCATTTTTTGTGCAGACTGCTTTCATTCAGGCATCTCTACAATTTTTTTGCAAGTATGGCAGAGGTTAGCTCTACTATGAGAAAAAGCAAAACAGAAAAAGGACAGAAATTCTAATACCATCTAACTCAAGAATATTCTGGTTTGTGGAATTTCTCCAACTGAAAAGGCCTCCAGAATTAAGCCAGAAGAAAGGACTATCATTTGTCTGGTTAATACTAAGAATGAAGGGTTTGTTCACTGACTCTACTTAGCGAAAACTTAGGTGTATAAGCATGCATACTAATAGTCAACACATGAAATGTCACATAGATTCAGTTTAGTTCAAATCTTATAACTTACGATTTTGAAATTAATTTTTTATATTTCATAACTACTAACTCTTAATAAAGCAGTATCTATTAGAGAAACTATTACATTTTCTATTTTCCAAGTTGAAAAGCAAAAGAAACAGCAATGAAAAGATCCATTATTTTAAAATTATTACCTCTGATGGAAAATAATTTAATGGCTCAAATTTTGCATCAATCTTATAAAACGCCAGTTCCTGCTCCAATTCGTACTGCTTCTGGCACGCTCGGGTTAGCTCCATTGTCTTCTGCCTTAACTAATAAACCAGTAAAAAAAAGTAAATTACATGCATTCAAGAGTCATCATTATCACATACATTTCAATTCAGTAGACAGCAGGGCAAAGACACTAACTTTGAAACAAAGCTCACGTCAGAAGTTAAGATGGTGTATTTTGGATCAAGAATATCACAAAGTGCAAGTTTATTACAAGACTAAGAGTAGATGAGAACCCCACAATTAATAGAACACACAGGATCACATGAAAGGCCTTTTAAGTTTACATGCATCAAAGGTCTGATGATAAATTTGTCAGTAATTTACGATAAAAAATAGTTTGGGTACAATCCTTTAGCAAAATCTACACCAAATAATGAATGTATTTACTGCTACTAATGAGCAGTGAGAACTATTAACACTCAGAAGAAACAAACTATCTCAGTTGTCACTTGTATAGAGCCTATGCATTTAATTTTAGCTTAATCTTGTGCTAATTAAGTTTTGAGGTTTTTTGGTTTTTTTTTTTTTCCCAATAAAGGTCCATCATGTGATTTCTTTTTAAAATCAACTTTTCACACTGAATACCTGAGGGAGAACATGCAGCAAAACTCCAATAGACAGTGGAAAGCAGGACTAATGGAGGAAAAGAAATAGAACAGACTGGAATAAAGGAAAAGCTTAAAGAAAGAGTTTCATAATCGGTATGTCATGCAAATATTAGCTGTGTTTCAGAGAAAAGAAAGAAAAAAGAAAGAAAAATCAAGAAAATTGTATCCAAAACTCACAGTGAACATAAAGTCTCACTGGAACACTTTATACAAACGTGCAAATAAATCCTAGAAATAAAAGTAACCATGCAACCCAGGAGCACAGTGGGGCTACCTTTAGTGAGGAATAAAGGCTCTGCGGAAAGGGAACTGTGACAAACCAATACACCAGCTAAAGGAAGAAAGAAGCAAGCAGAGTTTGTCATCTAAAGGACAAGAGTGGGTTAAGTCGCAAAATATATGCTGCTAAATCTCACTATACTGAAAACTACACTTTAGAAATAGGCTGCTGGTTAGTGTGTGTGTTCACAGAAGAAATAGCTATAGAAATACTAGCTATAGAGATTCCGAAGGATAACATTTTAGAGGAGAAGTATAACAAGTAAGATAAAAACTGTATAAGTTCCCATCAGGTCATTCACAACCCAGCACTCTCAAGTCAATAGGACTGTTTTCAGGACCACTGTACAAATCTTGCATTTTATAGGTACCAATGAAAGACACTTACCAAACATGAAGATTTTAGGATGATGTGAATAAAAGTACAAGTAAACCAATGGACATTACCCAAAATAATAATCAAGGGGTATTACTGACATACAACTTTTACAAACACCTTGTTTTTGTAAAAGCATTTAATCTTTTCCCTAATTGCAGCAGCACTTTTAAAGTCCGGACAATGCAGGAGATTCAGTACATGGGCAATTTAGCAGCTAGGGGATACTTAACCTTTTATCAACTGACAAAATCTTAAACAAACAAACAAATTACTAGACACAAACAATTAAGTTACTGTCAACCATAAATTACGAGAGCAATACTGATTGCTGATTCAATATACTTACTTTTTTCCACAGAAAGAATATTGAAGAACTACTGGTCAAGGAATAATCACTCTCTGAAAAGTTGAGGTGCCTAAGTTTTGTCTCTATTTTAAAGATAAATCTCCAGCCATTTGAACTCTCACATTGACAACTCTGTTTCTGACAAGAAAACTATTCCAAATATTTACTTAGTGCAAGTGACTATCTTACCAATTCATTTTTGGTGTCCAGGTCCCTTTGCAGGTCTTCATAGCTTTGTTTCTGTTGCAAAGTCTTTTCTTTTAATGATTTGTTGACTTCATCTTGATGGTGAAGTTGCTCGAGCACTTTGGACTGGTTAAGTTTAAGGTTTTCCATCTCCTTTACTGTGTTTTCCAACTCTCTCTCTAATTTTTCTATCTCTTCTGAAAACCAAAACAATAGAAAAATTCAATTAGAAAATCTTTTCCTTCTAAACTTAAATTTTGCGTCATTCACTTTAGTTCTAACATATTACTATTACCTAAATTAAACCTCTCCAGAGCTTCCTGCCTGTCGTGATTTGTCACTGGCTGTCCATCCAAGTTTTCCAGCGCTCTCAAGTGGAATATGGTGTACAAGCGGTAGTGAGGCAGACTCACAACTGGATTATCAGCAAGGAATAGAGAAGTCAGATCTTGTAGAGGCTTTAGTTTAGCTATATCATGGAGCTAAATCAAAGACAAATGGAACAATGATTAGACATCCTTCCAAGAACAATTAACCCCCTACTACTGAATTTCTGATTGTATAGAATGTTTTTTGTTAGGTCTATCTCAAAGGATCTATTTTAACATTTATGCTAAAGCGGAATTTCTAAAAACCTACCAAAATACACAGTACTATGACTAAAGTAACTTCATACAATCGAATTGTTTCTTCTATGAAAAAAACACTGCAAAGCGGGCAAATTTCATCAAGCTTGACCTTGGAAATTTCAAGATAACAAGGTCTGTGGATATATATAACCTTCCATTCCCCCAGACTTATTCGTAAGAAAAAGGAGCTTTTATCACAGGGAGTACTCAAACAGAGCTGGTTCATCTTTCCTGCTAAGTAGAATGATTCCTTCAGGAACTGTATTAAGTGACCTCATTTCATAGACACCCTTTTGTAGCTGCAAAACATGGAAATTAACCCAGACCACAGAAGTAAATCTAGTCATGTCCTAAATACAAAATATAAGCAAATAGATTATTTACAGGTCTCCAAAACCATATAATAATTTGTCATAAGGGACACAACCAGTAACATGCAGAAATCCTCACATTTTCACCAAGTTTTTCCTAAGTTTCCAAGAACTTAGGATTTCCTGAACAACGTACTATAGGTTTATGCTTTAAATACCTGGCACAGAAGGAGACTTTTTCTGATGAACAACTTTATTAGGCTCACAACGGCTGTATTTCACAACAGACTTTGTGGAAAGACATTCAGCAATTATTCAGGGTAAGTCAATTCAAGTAAAAGTACCAGTTCACTTCATTAAAAGACTCTGAACAATTACTGTTCCTAACTATAATCACTTACTGATGATACTTTGTTCTGTTTCAAGTTAAGGATGCGCAGGGATCTCAGCTTCTTCCCTACCCACACAGGAATATGCTCAATCTCATTCCCTGCAAGGTTCAGCTTTTGCAGATTCTGCATATGTTCTATACCTTCAATTTTACTGAAAATAAGAAGAAAAACATAACTTACCATGAAGCATAGCAAATTTACAGTGTAACTGAGGCATTATGGATAAGCTACAGCAAAATTCCCAAATAATTATTATCCAAGAAATTAGCAAAAACAGTTGTTTACTGCCACGGAGTCACAATTCAAATTAAGTTACACCACCTTACTTCTAAGTATTATATGAAGGCAAAAAACCCCAATTTTACAGCGAGACTTTGTTGCTCACTGTGGCAAAACCTTTACTTTTACAGTTCTTACTTTTAATATTAAAATTATTTTAATGTATGGTAATTCCATTTTAATATGGAAATTTTGTTCCTCTTCTCCTGAGAATGTTATGGGACACAGATGAACCAAAATGAAGGTGGGTTGTTTTGGGTTTTTTTTCTTTTGTTTTGTTTTTTCTTCTTCATAGAATCATAGAATCACTTAGGTTGGAAAAGACTCTTAAGATCACAGAGTCCAACCGTTAACCTAACACTACCCAGTCCACCATGAAACCATGCCTCTGAGCGCCACACCTGCATACATGTTTCCATACAAAGGAAGGATCAACTGTAAAGTGACAGTGTGCAGAACTGCACTTCATAGCATTTTCATTACAACACTATATAGGTAAAGAGGAAAACATACCAGGTTTTAGTTTACTTGGGCATTTATCTAAAGATATGACCATTATAACAAAGTACAGTAGAATGTCCTCTTGTGACCATGCTAGTTTTTGAGTAGGAACCAACTGTATATAACTAAAGTCTGAAAAGATACAGCAGTAGATAAAAGCTACTCTGACCTTTTCAGTTCCTGTTGAGAGAGGAAGTGAGAATGCAGCATGTAGAAATGCTAGTGTCTTGCTTACTTCCTATTGGAAACTTCACTACTGAAATCGCAGCTTCTCTACTGCAAAGTCAATCTCATGTAAAGATCGTAATTCACTAACAGAAAAATTAAAGGAAACAAAGAATTTTGCTATTGCCTGAACCACTACCCTTCAACATTTCTATACCACTCAGAAAAGATACCAGACTCTCAAAAACAGTTGAAGTGAAAAAGCAATTTAGTGAGTTTACAGCCTGCCTGATCAACCCACTCAGCTTCCTCTCCTACAAGAAAAGTTCTTGTATTTACCTGTAATAATATACAGTTAAAGTTTAATTAAATTTTTAATGCATTCAATCGGGTTATTGTACACTCTTCATTATGGTATCCGGAAACTTCCATTTCTGGCTTGGTTTCCTAGGAAAACAAGTTTAACTGCAGCCATGGCACATTAACAGCACCTCCCAGAACTATTTATCCATCTAATGCCTAAGAGCTTGCATTTTTTTGAGAAGATGTCACCAAAGCCTGTTAGTCTTGATATACAACTGATGGGAAATTAATTTTAACTGTTCATACCTGTGAGACAACTCAAACAATAAGAGAACATTGGTTTTACTGTATCTGGGCTTACCAAACCCATTAGTGTTTCTGCTTACCCAATTTTGTTGCAAGACAAATTGAGTTCACGCAGCTTCATCAGTTTATCCAGCTTCTCAATCTTCTCTATTTGGTTGTAACTAAGATTTAGTGTCTCTAGTTTAGAGCACTTTTCCAAGTTTTCTATGTACTATAGAACAGAAAATTAATCCATTAGCATTGCAACTTTATTAATTTTTACTTTTTTAAAAGAGAAAGGCAGATTTAAATTTTTAACAACCACCTATTCATTAAAAAATACAAAATATCCTAACATTTTATTAATCACAGTTTCACTGTTGCAGTCTAAACCCCTGCTTTAGGTACAGTATCCTATAGCATTGGAAGAGGGAAACTAGATTTTAAATTTACAGTAGACCAGTCTCATCTACACAAAAAGGAAATTGGTTGGTTTTGGTTTTTTTTTTAACAGCAAACACAAAACCCAGCACAACCCAGAAGATAAAAAAAATTACACAAATGGAAGGCGTTCTAAACTTCATTCTAACTAATCCAAATATTCTTCTTTTGCGTAAGTCTCCACCGACTATTTTTTTTTTTTTTTTTTAAAACAGAAGGTGCTTGTAGAACTAGGCTAACATAGTTAGGATATAGCTGTTTACATCCACTTAAAATTAGACCTTTACTAAAAAATAAATCAAAATTAATTTTTAACTTTGTTTAATTACTGGTTATTTTCAACAACTTACCTTAAATTTCTTGTCCCCATCCTTCAGGGAAGAAAGGTTCAGTGAGCTTATACATGCCAAATTTTCCTGTTTTGACAGACCTTTGATGAGGGGTTCGGTAATGTACCTAACTCCTGGACTAACACCATTTTCATCTGAAATTAAACAGAGAAACTAGCCTCAGTAGTGAAATAAATGGCAATTTTTATATTAGCCTTTTACTTCACACTGAATACTGGGAAAACATTGAAAATTATTCCCCCCCACAAGGGATGAGAGGAAACAACACACCGGAAGCATTTTCAGGTAATGACATGTTAGAGTAAGTGGGTATAGCCCTTTGAAAAAGGCACAGCATGCACCTCCCTTTGCCAGTCTAACCCCCAGGCACAGAATGTAAATAGTAAAAGTCTCATTATTCTACACAGCTTTCACTACTGTCATTTCCACATTTGAGTACCAAAAGATGAAAGCAATTTTTTCAGGGTTCTTTCCAAAAGATCCTACATCTTTAATCATACAGTTCACAGAACATTGGCTTTTTATGCTTTTAGTATGTACTGTTATACCAGCAGTTATTTATACAATACCTTTATGAAACTTATATTCAAAAGCAGCTTCTACATCTTCTGCTGTAATATCAAGCTGTTGCTGCCTCCGCACCGTGCTTTTGCAAGCAGATGGAGATGTTTGTTGGCTAAGAGGAGATGGCGATCTGGTACTTGAACTGACAGGAGACATTGGACTAGGTGTCCGAGAAGCTGACATCTGTGTTTTTCTACATAATGCTTTTCTTACTGGGCCTTTCTTCATTGCCAAAAATACAGAATATCATATGACCAGTACCTGGAAGAACAGAAATAAACATCAGCCTGTACATAAGTCTAAATCTTAATGGTTTGCATGCCAACAAAATTGTCTTTTTAGCATAAGAAAATATGTCCGCTGATGATATGGTGCCAAAAAACCCCCACATCTAAGCCAATTCTGCAATGGGTGACAGCTTCCAGTTTTCATGAGCTAACACAGATTCAGAGGAATGGTATACCTGTTTACTTACACCATTCTCTAGACGACCACCAGGAACTGGCTGAACTGCTTTCTGTTTTGCAGCTCATCTTGGTAACTTAACTGTCCTCCAGTTTATGGCTTAGACAAAGTCTGTCAGGTCTGGAGATACTCTCAACTCAGACTAACATAGTTGGCAGAGGACAGAAAGAGAAATCTAGGATCCCAATTGTTTTTACCAAAGCTGGAAATCACCCACTTTGCAGCTAGAAGAGCAAATGCAAGCAAAAAAAGGCAACGGAGAAAAAAAAATAAAATTAAAATCAGTCTAGCACTGGCATTCCTTCAGTGTCACCCTTTCTGCAAACAAGTTATTTTGCGACTGCCCAAGAAATTCCAGAGAATGTTAACAGAAGCTTCCCCCAGTGACGAATATATTTCCCTAGGGGTAAGCGTTGAAGTAGTCATGTACGTGTTCTGTGCGTGACAGCCCTTGTAGTGACCATCTTCAAGGGATGGGTTTTTACTAAAACCTAGATCCAGGAAACAAAAAGCACATTTTAGGATATGCTTTAAGATTGAAGCATATGCTTTTAATGGAACTTTGAGCTATATGAGTGATTACATTGTGCCATGAGAAGATTTTCTTCATTAAAATGGCTTTTTTTTTCCCCCCTGAATCTTCAAAATGAAAGAAAGAAGGAGCCGCTCTCGTCAATACTTGGAGGCACAACTCATTCACGGCCAGGAAACTGAGACTGGAAGGGGCAGGAGAGGGGAAGGATGGTGGTGAGCCAGCGGCGAACTGCTTTGGGAAGTTTCTCCATGTTTTAAGGGCAGCAGCAGGACCTTTTAACGCGGTTTCTTGAAAACGAATTGTGCTTTTGCAATGAAAACCACCACAAAACTCCCAGGTTAGAACAGGCGGGGGCGGGAGGGAGCGTGGAGCTGACCTGGCCGGGGAGGTGTGCCCCGGGTGTCCCCCGCGCCCCGGCGGGCA